GGAGAGAGAGAGAGAGAGAGAGAGAGAGAGAGAGAGAGAGAGAGAGGTGGTGGAAAATTCAAGATGGAGGGGAGCAGAGACAAAAGCGACCAGTACCTAACAAGCCGGATATGCTCGGGATTTTCGTCCTCGGAATCGGCGCCCAGACACATCCGGTTGTAATCGTCGATATTGATGGACAGGAGTCGGCAAGTTTCGATACACGTCACTGAGTACTGGCGATATGCTCGTCCGAATATTCCTTCTTCCTTTGAAAGGCGGGAACAAGTCACCAGTTGTTGAGGGGAATAGGGAACTACATTAGTTTGAGTTCAGGTTTGCATTTGGAATAGTTCATCTTTCTTTCCTACCGCAGAATGAGTTGGAAAGAAAACAAAAGACAAACAGTGAGGTGTTTCAGATTCTACACACAAGACAAAGCCTGCTGAAAAAAAATGAAATGTAGAAAATTACAATACTATGACCACTTAAAACGACACGAGACCATTGTGAAAGAGGTGTTTGAAGGAAGTATGTAGAGCAGGATAGCCAGAGGAAGGCAAAGAATAACATGGATGGACAACATAATAAGAACGTGGACCGGCCTGGATATGGCAGAATGTGCAGTGGCAGCTCGCGACCGTGAAGGATGGTGGGTCATTACATGTCAACCTCTGAGTTAGAGATGTCAACTCCAGGTATGCAGGTATCTTTCTCTCACTGGTAAGTTCGACGACAAAGCCACTGCAGGTTGCTTGGAAAGCGTGAACAGATGGGTAATTGGGTAATGCTAGGACAGTGCTTTTTAAAAACTTCATTGTGTCATCATCATTGTCATCATCCTCATCATCCTCACCATCCTCATCCTCATCATTATTTCATCATCATAATCAACAGCTTCATCATCATCATCATCATCATCATCATCATCATCATCATCATCATCATCATCATCATCATCATCATCATCATCATCATTAGATGTAAAACATGTGCCTACATGAAAGTAACCAACTTTTTAGAAGGCCCCCACTTTAAAAGAAAACCTTCCCACAGCATCACTTGCGAAACCAAAAATGTAATCTACCTCATATCTTGTTAAGTCTGTCCAGCTCAATATGTAGGTCAAATTACCACCACACTAAGAGCTAGGTTTAATAACCAAAGGTATTCAGTCCAGAAAAACTCCAGCACACCAGTTGGCCAACATTTCAACAGTCCTGGTCACAATGGAACCTCCGATTTGCAGCTTCAGGGTATTGAAATAGTCCAATATCCTACTTAAGAAAAACTTAACCAAAGAGAATCAATGTGAAATTTGGAACTTGGGGTCTCACAAAATTCCCACTGGCCTTAACATCGACGAGCTCCATTTTATTTGCAACGTAACGTACTAATCACCCCTTATGTTCCTGCAACCCCCTCCATTTGGCCCTGCCTTTCTGTTATATTCCTTACCTCCCTCCCTCTCTCTCTCTCTCTCTCTCTCT